TTCTTGAGCCACTCCTTTGTTGCCTTGGCGGTATGTTTCGGGTCATTGTAATCCTTGAAGACTTATCCTTGACCCATCTTCAGTGTTCTGGCTGAGGGAAGGAGGTTCTCGTCCAGGATTTTACAGTACATGGCCCAGTCCATTTGCCCCTCAATGCGGTGAAGTCACCCTGTACCCTTAGCAGAAAAACAGCCCCAAAGCATAATGTTTCCACCTCCGTGCTCGACTGTAGGGATGGTGTTCTTGGGGTCATAGTCAGCATTTCTCTCCCTCCAAACACGGCGAGTCGAGTTAATGCCAAAGAGCTCAATTTTGGTCTCATCTGACCCCAGCTCTTTCTCCCAAGCCTTCTCTGAATCATTTACATGTTCTTTGGAAAACTTTAAACGGGCCTGTACATGTGCCTTCTTGAGCAGGGGGACCTTGCGGGCGCTGCAGGATTTGAGTCCATTGCGGCGTAGTGTGTTACCAATGTTTTGCTTGGTGACTGTGGTCCCAACTGCCTTAAGATCATTAACAAGCTCCTCCCGTGTAGTTCGGGGCTGATCCCTCACCTTTCTCATGATCATTACCCCGTGAGGCGAGATCTTTCACGGAGCTCCAGACCAAGGCCGGTGACCGATGGTTGTTTTGTATTTCTTCCATTTCCGAATAATCGCACCGACAGTTGTCTCATTCTCACCAAGCTTCTTGCTGATGATCTTGTAGCCCATTCAAGCCTTGTGCAGATCTACAATCTTGTCTCTGACATCGTTTGACAGCTCTTTGGTCTTGCCCATGGTGGTGGGATAGGTTGGAATGGAAGATACAGATTGTGTGGACAGGTGTCTTTTATTCACCTAACGAGCTGACATTAGGAGTAACTTCTTTAAGTGGTAGGACTAATCTGTGTTTCACATGGACACATAACCAGTCTGTGGGAGCCAGAATTCTAATATAATGTGTTTTTTCTGGATTTTTTGGTTGGTATTCTGTCTCTATCCATTAAAATAAACCTACCATAAAAATTACAGACGCTTCAATTTCTTTGTAAGTGGGCAAACTTACAACATCAGCAGGGGATCAAATAAATATTTTCCCCACTGTATATACTTGTACAACCAGGCCAGAAACAGATTGACAAAGGAGATCAGAGTGGCTAAAAACTACCCTGAAAAGCTAAAAAGTTTTCAGA